AGAACGTCCAACTTCTGTTAACCCAAAAATAGAGTTGGGACTAGGGATTGCAATACCGGTATACCGGGACACTGAATACCGGTATTTTGAGCCATTTGTTCAATTTTGTAATACCGGTATTTTGAGCCATTTGTACATTTTTGTAATACCGGTATTCATAAGTTTAAATATCGTTTTTTCGGTATTTACTATAAATTTTTAAAATTGTCTCCATTATATGTCCAGGTATCGCCAAAATAGTTTACGTGTTTGTTTTTATGTCTCTCTAACGGGCGAAATTATTTAAGACCATGAATATAAAGTTACATCGTACAATTAAGATAAGTGATAAAATATGTGAATCATCCAAGGAGGTGAGCCAAAACTATTCTATTACAGATCAGAGCGATACTGCATACGCGCAGGATTCGTAGTCTGATATTTGTATCTGTAAAAACAAGGTTGTAGTTATGAAGAAAATGCGCAATATTTCGATGATTTCAAACTATTTTTTCAGAGAGATTCTTTATATGTACTTATAAATAACAACCCATAATAATAAATACGAATACGATAACAATGAATAAGATTTAATATCACATTTCGAAAATTTATAATAGTACCACAGACTAAATAGTGATGTTTACACTTTTTTGTGATTAAAATAAGATGTTCCTTTACTTTTTTATGATTCTTTATATATTGTTATGATTTATAAGTTACAAGTTCTTTTTCGTGATATTTACACTCTCTAATAAAACTGGAAAATAAAATAAAGAAATATCCGTGTTTTCTTTCTTTTTCTAAAATTTCTACTACCGGTATTAAAACCGGTATCCCGGTATTAAGATCGAAGAAATACCGAATACCGGTATTGAACTTTTGGTCCGATATTGCAATCTCTAATTGGGACTAATTCGGGGCATTCTTCTCGTATTTTAGACTGTCATTCGAAGTCATACTTAGAATTGCAATTACTAGCACATACAATCGTTCGTATTTTATAGTGTTTCTTATAGTATATTAAGAAAAGGCCGGTAGATCAATGGTTTTTTGACACAGTGTACCTTCGGCACAGCAAAAATGAAAAACTTAGTCTTATAAATCCCGAATGTATACACTTTGAATCAATCTAATTAATTAATGAAAAGAGCATACATGTCCTTACATAGAATACAGTTTGGTTTCTCACAAATCGAGGATTTATTGAATGCAATTTGACATATGTAGAACATCTTCGCTTTCCCATAAAAGGTATAGTTGTGTGGATGGTCGATTCATATGAATTCATTTTTCCGCTGAAAACCAGGACATTACTGAAACACTTATCGTATAAATACATTTTTGTATCCTTCTAGGTGGAATAATATTTCTGATTTGTCATCCACCAGAACATGCACCCAGTTAAATCCTTACTTCATTAATTAACTATCAACACTTGAAGGTTTCTCTGTTTTATTACACTTTATAGTTACAGCGGTTTCCTTGTTGTGGTCACTTATAACATCTTATTTTTTGTATGAAAATTAATATTATAGTTTTCTTATCTAGGTTTCTTTGTATTCATCGTTTTTTTAGTGATATATTCAACACATTCCACGAAAACTAATTAAGCTAAATACACACTTGGGAATTAGACAAAAAGTTGAAAATTTGGTAGTACGTAATTATAGCGCAGTTTGTTGAACATAAGAAAAGTCAATAAATACAATAAAACATTTTTGTTGAAACAGGCGGAAGTTTATTAATTTTACAAGGGTTAAAGAAATGAATCAAACGCTTGATGAAGAAGAAAAAAATTAAGGTTACAAAATATAATTTGTATCATTGCAACTAAAATTGTTAAAGAAAATCTAAAGTTTGTTAATATAACAAATGTTAAAGAAACGAAATATGAAATTACATACAGCATTTGAAATGTTTTAAAATAAACATGTTTACCTTTAAAAAAATTTATCAAATCGCAGAATTATTTATTCCATATCTGTATTTCCATTTACATTTTAAGGGAAATCAAATGTGAATGAGTTTGATAAACAAAGTTCTAAATGGGAAATTAATTTATGTTCCTGAATGCTTTAAACTTATGTCTATTATAATTCTGACATTAAAATATCAAAACGCTTTTATTCACTTTTTAATTAAAAATAAGCACCGGGTGGAAAAAAAAAGTCCGTAAAAACTTTAAAAATTTATAAAACCCAGAAAATGAAACAAAATAAAAAAAACTGTTTGCTTGTTTAGCATCGATATGTCACAAGATTTTTTTTTAAAATAAGGAAAAGGAAAAAAAAAATATATGAATTCAAAAAACAACCATAGGTGGCGTTTAGTGCATAAGTGAAAGAAATGATTCGCAAATAACAGAAATAACGTTACCAAATCATTTATTACAGCTGCATGTGTTCTACATGTCCACCACCACAAGGAATGACAAATTACAAGCGTGTCACAAATCCAGTAACGGCAGATTGTAGAATGTCTGCCTGTATCCATGACAGCTTTTGGCGGATCGCATCTTTCAATTGCGACAGATTGGATGGACAGGATTAATACACCCGAAAATTTTAAAATTCCCACAGCCAAAAGTCTACTGGAATCAGGTCTAGAGACCTAGGAGGCCAGGTAAACTTGCAACGTTTGCTAATGATTCTTAGACTTGGCCGTCCGGATATTACACGATCCTCGAGTGATCCAGTTTCCTCAAATCGCTGAACAAGGTTTATGAGACGTACCACTGTTGAAGGCCCTTTTCCAGTCTTCACATTTTTCTGAAGTCGGAATTTACGCAGTGCAACAATCGCCGATTCCTTGTTTGTGAAAAACAGCTTCACCAACAAAGCTTTGTCTTTTTCACTCAGCATCCTACTTAGTTGACATGCAACGGAGAATTAGATCTGGATCAAGGCATCAGTATTTGTAATCGCCTGTCTCATTTGCATGTTTCCAACTCAGTCGTTTGTACCAGCGCCATCTGTTGGCTGTTTTTTTCTTATCTTAAAAAAAAATGTTAATCGATGTTAAACCTGCAAACCATTTTTTATTTTTTAATTTTATGGGTCTTATAAACTTTTAAAGTTTATACGGACTTTTTGCCCACCCGGTATAATTAACTCATTAAAAATTAATAATTCGTAAGTTATTAGAACACGACTTACCCTTCTAATATCGAAGTGAAGTATTCTAGCTAAGTATGTTGGCAATTCAGTTAAGAAAGTATAAAATCCCCAACTGAGTCCGAAATGCGTGACTGTCAAAGCCCACACATAACGAGATGAAAAAATGGATTTCCAAGGAGTTGCAGATCTCTATCAGAAGGAGGAAGAAATAATTAATTACTTTACAACACACAAACTTTGAATTCTATTCTATTGCTTATGAGTCATTATTCATTGATTACATTTTGTGAATGCTTTCTATTGATTTAAATCATTAAAATCCAAAATCACCTACTTCATGCTTATTTATTCCCCCTAATGAATTTTAGATACCAAATCAATAATCCCAAAATGAAAAAATAACATCGTAAAACTTTAAGTAATATCGCTTCAGTTGGAGCCAAAGAAACTTACGCAATGACACTTTTAATTTAGGATTTCATCGATAGTTAAAATTTTTTTTGGAAGTTAATAACCACAGGTATTAAAATTAAGTGACCGCGACAACTTATTAAGAGACTATAGAACACTAGTGGTTATTCTCACAAAGTCGTGATCGGTGTGTCATGAGTTCGAGCTTCAATGCCATTGAAGGCCCACCGTATAGAAGCAGCTAAACTAAACTCAGTGGCACAACAGCCCATGAGGGACAAGACCTAATGTGCCTTTATTCGTGACCTTGGGCATTGAGGTGCATGAGCAGTTCAGGTCAGGTGGTAAGTCTGACGTGAAATCCCCAGTGTTTAGTTTTCAAGAAAGCTTGGCACTTATTTATCGACCCACTGAAAAGATTAAAGGATGAGTCGACCTTGCCCAGCCGAAGGTTTGAGCCCCGGATTTGTAGCGTGGAAGCGCGATACGCCACCACTCAGTTACTGGGCTTCGTGTAGAGAAACTTATACACGTTAAATCTACAGGCTCAAAGTCCTCCCGTTAGAATGGAGTGTAGATTCGAAGAGGGGGTGCCAACTCAGGTGTCGCTATAATAATTTGAACATGGCCCCAAATTACGAGGTCAGTCGCCAGCAGCCCTTGTGTTGCCGCTCACTCAAAGCAGTTTATTAAAATACTCGTTTTACAAAATAATTTTCAACAAATTTTTAACTTAATTAATTCTCGTTTTGATAACTGCTTTGGATGGAATTGATTTGCACTGAAATTTGAAAATATTCAAATATGGTCTTAAATACTAAGCATCTCTCCGACAAAAGTAAAATTCAGACAAAATTGCAGAATTACTTTAGATACTCAATAATATATCCATATTTTTGCAAGTGAAAAGAAACCCTCAGTTAAAAAACAGTTAACTTCGCGAATAAAAAAATTTTAAAAAAATTCTCATCAGTACACTTTTTTTTGCCGAAGCTAAAATTATTTCAGATGAAACTAAAAAAAAATCACAAGTGTAACTAATATTGAAATAAATAGCCATTAATAAAATAACCTGCTAGTAAAAATTTAGGATAGAGGTAGCATTTATCCAAGAGATAATGAAAGTTTCAAATTTAAGAGTGCAGTGTAGTTGAAGCTTATTTACAAAATGGTAACGTATTGAATTTTATAATGTTTTTTTCTTCATAATTTTCAGCAAGTTTGACTAAGAAATTTTAAATTTTTTTTTCATTTTACATAGCTTAAAATGTAATAATTTATTTAAATGCTGCTTGTGTCTAAGTGTTTAGAACAGGGGTCGGCAACCTTATAGCTGTCGTGTGCCAAATCAATCTACCAATATGATTTAGTGTTCCACACAGTAGGAAATATAAAAAACATTTCGATACCCATGGTAATGCATGCATATTTAGGGAATATAGGTCAAAATTATAGATTTGGAATTTTATTGTTATTAATTATGCATCGCCAACGGCCATACTATGCTGAAAACGCCAGTTCGATTACCGAAGTTAAGCATCATCGGGCCCAGTTAATACTTGGGAGAGTGACAACCTGGAAACAAAGCATGCCGTTGGCATTCTCTTTTCATTCGTGGCCTGGCAAGGTAGACTTAGCCTTTCAACCCTACTGCTGTGGGTCGATAAATGAGTATCAAGCTTTGTGAAGCCCCGCCCGTGGGGACCTCAGTTCTACATTATCTACGCGACCTGTCTATGTGGGTAAGAAAGAAGAACCACTCAAATCATTCATTCTAAAATTCGCGTACTTGACCACTGAATCTAACTTTATAGATTAATTCATCTATCACTAATATACGCCCTTTCCTTATAGCTTATATAAATTAGCTTACCACTATATCCTAGGTAATCAGCTACGTTCTTTATTTGTTCTGATGTGGCTTTAATCCAACAGTGTTCCTTTTAACCTCGAACCCACTTTTGGTTTGTCAGTACCGGCACGGCTAGGCTTTTACAGCCAACACTCTATTTAGAGACTTCACTTCCCACTTAGCAATCTTTTCTGCACATAGACAGAGACCCAGATGTAGACTCCGCTCTACTGCTAACTTCCAATATATATATATATATATATATATATATATATATATATATATATATATATATATATATATATATGATTCCTAATTTACATAACCACGTTCTACTTCTTGAGTTGGTTGGAAAGAATTGCCATTCTAGCCCCAAATAAACTTCGCTTTCACCGTTTTCGAAGACAATAAGAGCAGCTGTCGCATTTTGAGAGTGGGAAAATCATTGGCATGATGGAAGCTGGGTAGTCAGCTAGGCGAGTAGCTTGACAATTAATCCACTATGATTGTGTAGTGAGAAAGTGTTGGGACTAGTAGATTCGAGAGATGTCATTTACACGAAGACCAAGCTCAGGACGCCCTCGACAGACCAAAGACCGCCACATCGCCACAGAGAAGACCGCCACATCGTAAGAAATGCACGCGTACAGCCAACTGATCATCGACCGCCATCCAGGCACAGGTAGCAACTTCACTAGGGTCCCCTGTGTCTTCCTGAACCAAACGAAGGCGCCTAGCTTAAGGACATTTGGGATCGCGGCTCCCATTACGTGTGCTACCCTTGACGCCCACCAATCGATGCCTCTGTTTGAGTGGTGCCGCGCACGAGGAAACTGGAATGCAGCGGAATGGAACCAGGTCGTCTTTAGCGACGAATTGAGATTCAATCTCAGTAGTGATGACAATTGTGTTTGTGTGTGGAAACCACATGGTGAAATCCTGCCTTTGCTTTACAGCGACACACCACTCCCACAGCTGGTGTAATGGTAGGGGTGCCATTTTGCCTGCAGTACACGGTCACCCCTAGTATTGACCCGTGTCACCATGACAGCCCATCGGTGTCTCCATGACATTCTGCAACCACATGTGTTGCTACTCATGCAACGGCTCCCAGGAGCAATTTTTCAACAAGACAATGCTCGGCCTCACAAGGCAAGGGTGTCAGAAGATTGTCTCCCCACTGTTACTACCCTTCCTTGGCATGCCCAATCCCCAGGTTTGTTTCCAATCGAGTCTATCTGGGATCATTCATTTGGGACGGTGAGTTGGGCATTTCATGAGTTTGAACGAACTAGAGGCAAGGTTACAGCAAATACGGAACGAAATGTTTCAAGACCTCATACAGAAATGGTATGCCTCAATGCCCGATCGTATCGCATCGTGCATTCGCGCTAGAGGAGGTTCAACAGGGTATTAAATCCTCCGTTCTTTTGCCTTCTTCTCTGAAATATAAATGATCCTTTTTCTTTGATTTTCTAATCATTTACTAATATCAAAGTAGTCATTACGTATGTAAAATTTTGTTTCATTTTGACGACTCATTCTTGGTGCGCTAATTTTTTTGTCCCTAAGTGCACATAAACTACACGCAAGAATATTCAGCAAAGTCGTTTTATGGCAAAGAATTGAAAGTAAGAAACAGTCTTTATGCTTGAAGCGAAGAGAGGAGAGACAGAAAGATTTAACTTGATCTAATAACTTTGTCGAGGGCCATTTAGAATTGCTCCACGTGCCACATGTGGCATGCGCGTCATAGATTCCCGACCCCTGGTTTAGAGTTTGGAAGGTTTTATGTGTAATACAACTAAACAATATATGACTCATATGAATATTTTTGATGAATTCATCTTGCAATGTAAAACATTTTTCAGTGAATTTTCGATAGAAATTTATTCAATAAATTTTCTTGCCAGAAATTCCAATTGAAAACAGCATTACTATAACCAAATTATTGAAAATATTACCATCTAGTATTATGCACTGTTATGGCTGACTGTTGTTCTCTTTATTTGTGAAAAACCTTTTTATGTGTGAGTAAAATTATTATAGTTGTTGAGTCGTAGAAGAAAATCTTTGAAGAGGGAAACTGGAATGAGAATAATGTTTTTTGCATAGCTTACACTAAAAAAATAACAGCTGGAGCAATAAATTATTAATATGCGTGGAATATTCCACTTCTATTACGGCATTCGACCTATTTCTCTGCTAGAATATGAAGCGAAAGTAAATAATTTCCGAATTTTAGCATCTTGTCTCAGTTTGAGTTTGTATTCAGTAATTTATAGTTTTTTTCTTCTGTTTCTCGTCATAATGAAATTTTTATGTCATTTTCCATCAATACATATATAAAATATTAAAAATAAGCACTTTGCTTCTTAGAAATTTCCTTTTTTAAATAAATTGTAATTTATATTTGTGTAATCAAAAGGAAATATTTGGAAACAGAAACATAAAATTTCAAAAACTTGCTACTTTTCTGGAGGATGAAATAAGTATTAAGGGTGACTTGAAAAATCGATTTTTTAATCAGAATTATTTTTGAAAAAATAACTTCATTGATAAAGAAAGAATAAAAATCGAAGCGCTTTACTAATGCAGATTGAGTTTAAGAGAAGTATTCATAAAAAAAGTAAACAAAAATAGATAAAAAAAAAGTACAGTGAAAAATGTTTAACTCGAAAACACTTACTACGAAATAATACAACGATCATGAGAAGCTACTATGCATTTTCATGCAAATTTTTTCTCTGGGCATGCTGAAAATGACCTAAATGTCATTTTTTATATTTTATTTAGTTATATTCTTTGTATTATTACTTTTCTATTAATATATCACTTTTGTATGCTAGAAAATTAGAAGTTGTAAAAAACTTCAGTTGAAAAATGTGAACAAACAAACAAATTAGGAAATTCGACCACGCCCCCATTTTAGACAAAAAATGCTAAAAAGTGAAATAGCTTTTAAAATAGCTTAAAAAAAAGCTATTTTAAAAAGTGAAATAATAACTAAATAAAGGAAGGTGTTACAAATAAAGCAATATATTTTGGATTGATTGATTGAATATTAACGTCGCACTGCTCAGCTACACGAGGGCTTTTGGTGACGGACCACGTAATTTAATATATTTTGGAAGTATTACGCTTGTGACTTTTGAGATCCATGCATGCAAAATGTTTTAATTAAGGCATTTTACATTAAAAATTTTATAATTTCAATTCATATTCATCATATATTTTTCATAAAAATATAATATTTCAATATTATGTGTGTGTGAAGCCATTTTTTTTAAAAAAAATTCTCTTACGACAAAATTTTTTTTTTTATCATGTTCCTTGAGATTTCTTATGCAATTAATACTCTCTAAAAAACGATCACTTATAAAATACATGACTTAAAATAATATGAAAATACTATTATTTTTAAGGAAGATATGTAGCTAATATTTGTTATATTTTATTTGTTTTTAAGCTTATTATTTTTTTAGAATTATAATTTTAAAATGGTTTTTCTCCGTTTACGTTTTTTCGCATTCAAAATGCTTCTTCTTCCACAACTATTTACCAATCACTTCCATTTTTTCCCGTGTGTTATATTATATAAAATGCATGTAACAAAATTGGGGATCGATTTTGCTGTAAACTTAATACTTTTTTTTTTAAAAAAAATTTAATTTTGGAGATTTCGGCTTTTTTGTTGAATTTTGGCATACATATATCAACGTTTTATTTTTTCCCCTTCTAAAACTAATTAAGTTTTTATAAAATAGATCCTAAAGTTGTTTAAAACATTCTTAGGAATATTTCAAAAAAATTTTAATTCAAAAAATTAATAAATACAAATGAAGTATATTTTTAAGTTTTTCCAAATTTTTTAAAAAAATTAACTAATTAAAATTGTGTGAACACACACACACGCACACAATTACTAATTAGGAAGCTAGTTCTCAATCCAGGCCTCTTTTCTTCAAGGCCCAAATACATTTCGACATGGGATGGAGGAACTTTTCGCGTTCCATTTCCCAAAGATGTCAAGCTTTCGAAGTACACAATTTTATTTCGTATCAGTTTCTAAAATAGAAACTTTATATGAAATGCTAAAATATAATTTTTAAACATATAAATAAAAAAAAATTATCTAAAAGGTGCCATGTCCTCTTAACACGAAATGAAAATCTTTATTTGAAAAAATTTCTCTTCTGGGAATGAGAAAATACGGAAAACACCTGTCACGTAGGATAGATTTAACAAGGATGTGAAATGAAAGAGAGGTGGTTTCACATGTTTCACCAAAAAGATTCCAACTTAGCTTTGAATCGGAATAGTCTGTGACACGACATAATTTTGTTTATCTCTAAGCTACTTTCACCCTCCATCCCTACAAACGCCACACAAAAGCATTTCATCTCGTCAGTTGGCTTTGAAATTCGATGACGAGTACATTGCAGTGTTAGTAAAAACAAGTGGACTTGGTTCGCATTATTTTTTTTTGTATCAGAACAATTTTTTGCGAGAACAATGGCAAAGAGCTTAGGGAGGAAACCATTATTTTGCTTAAAATGAAGATAGAGCTTCTTAAAACAGAAAACGAAAATCTGTTAAGATTTTGGTATTGATAACTCTACTTTATGAACAATAATTAAAAAAAGAGAGAAAATTATGTAAATGTTTGAATGAATTTTATTAAATACATGCATATACACATATCTTTCTAAATAAAATGTTTTCTAATTAATTTAATTTTG